AGGACTGTGGCCGTGAAAACCTGGTGTTAGGCGGCCACAGATCTCTGTATATAGTCTAAACCAAATATATTATTATTATTATTATTATATAGGTTATATTACCCTTACGTTTACCATTCCTGAGGAATGAACGTTTAAAGGTGACTCGGCGCTGGATCTTACACATCTTCGAAACTAACGCTGTTTTGGCCGAATGACCCTTCTGTATAGACGTATTTACGTCAAAAATTAAATGTAATGAACAATAATAATAAATAGGAATCCCTTACCTTAAACTTTGTTCAATTGTAGGAGACCACGATGTCCACGGGCAATGATCAGTTTAATCGAAAATAAAATGGAGAGATTTGAGGGCAGTTTCACAGATTTCTTAATAATTCTTATATAAGACAAGTACCTGTGATTTTTAAAAGGATTTCACCATCACAAAATTGTCTACTCTACGACGCACTTCTTCTACAAGCGATTCACAGCTTAGCTCTTTCCACACTGAAGAAATCGGATTGTTGACGGCAATAATAATTATTGTATTCGGTATTATTTTGTTTATTTATTAAACAAAACAATGCCGAATAAACAGATGACGTAACAATTAGTTTCCTAGATAAAGGAGTGGATTGTAATAAGATTTATTCAGGTAATTATACAGCATGCATAATAAATGAGAAAAGAGCCTTACGGCACGTTAAGTCAATATTGTTGCAGGCGTGTTTTAGAAATTCCAATCCTATTTCTTGCATTGTTATGCAAGCAGGAGTTCATATGAAAGCTAATAATTGTCGATCCACATTTACACATTGTTGGTATGGATCCTACACATCTTCGTAACTAACGCTGTTTTTGCCGAATATCCCTACAGTATAGACGTATGTACATCAAAAATAAGCAACTTTCAGAACGCAGACTGTTTTATGCGACATCAATAATCTTTATTAATCCATAAAACATGACTTAGTAAATTTCTTACCTTAATTCATACTGTCTTTGTTCTTTTGTTTTCATGACTTTCCGAACCCTGTAAAAAAACAAAACATTGTCAATACGTCATGACATTAATTTATTTAGCAGCGTGTGATTGTGAGCTGTCTCTCCTGCAGTAGTGTTAAATGGGGGATAAGGATCATCGTAAATACTGCGAGATGCAAAGACAGAAATGGCCTAGGTGGCAGTCCCTTTATGAACTTTGGCAAACTCTTCACAAATTCATTGTCCATCAGTATTCGTCATTGGTTTTAATACAACTAGAGCAGGGCGCTCCTTTCGGAGCTCCTAGCTGGGGTTGGTCATGTTTGTAAACGCAACCAACCTTGGTTAGTCCCAAAGAGGAGTTAGTTTAGTGTTTAACCCCTGAGTAAGAAACTAAACTAACCCCCCCCGAATGGGGAGTTTAAACACTTGACCAACCCCCCGAAGGGGGTTGGTTGCGTTTTAAAATCTTGAGTAAGACACTAAACTAACCCCCGTGTATAATCAAATATAAGGTGATATTGTTGATGACGTCATTTTTTGACGACAACGATGGCTAATCCTTTCGGAGCGCTTCCTGTAATCTGATATTTTACTTCTTTACGTCGCTGATCAGAGGCCAACAGTTCTT